CATCTGCTGCTGCACAGTTTGTGTTGCTCATCCTCTAGTCCTTCATCAGTGGTCACAGGACGCTGCCCACAGGACGCTGTTGGCTGGATGTTTTTGGTTGATGGACTATTCTCAGTCCAGCAGCGACACTGAGGTGTTTAAAAACTCCAGCAGCACTGCTGTCTCTGATCCACTCAGACCAGCACAACACACACTAACACACCACCACCACATCAGTGTTACAGCAGTACTGAGAATGATCCACCACCCAAATAGTACTTGCTCTGTGAGGGTCCATGGGGGTCCTGACCACTGAAGAACAGGGTAAAAGGGGGTAAAAGTATGCAGATATTTATTTATGCAAATATTTGTGTATTTATGTCCTTTTTTTGTTCATCCCAAGCCAATAGCTTTGGCCACACATAAGCCAAAACATATGTTTAATAGCAAAAGTAAAATAGCAAACAAACCCAGGCAATCAACCCTATAGTCATACAACAGACAGACATACAGAATAAAAGACGGATGTCCAGACAAACACTATCCGACAGAGAGACAAACCAACAGACAGACATCAACACAAACCCGTATAATGTTCGAACCACCATCATAAATGTTCTTTACTGTTATTTCTGCCTCATCAGCCCTGTAATGTGGATGCAGCTCCAGTCTGAATGCTGTTTATTTTCTCTGTTGTATTGGCACAGAGTGGACGGAGTGATGGCTGGCTGCTTGTTGTGGAGTTGTGGTTTGTATGGCGTGTGCCTGCTTGGTTCTGTGACTTGTTTTGGCTGCCCATCATAGAGCCGTGAGTGGGAGAGCAAACACACAGAGCAGCATTCACATCACAGGCTGTTCTTTGTGCGTCTGGCATTTCTCTGCGATGGCAGAAGCGTGCCGCTGGTGCTTTATAAAGGAACCTTTCTGAAGGTCCATAAACGTGCATCACATGATCGCCGCCGCCCCTCAGAAAGCTGGGCAGACGCAGCTCTGTTCTCTGAGAGCCTGAGGCTGAGAGATTTGGAGGTTTTCTCTGGCGGGCCGGGTTGGCTTCTTCCAGAAGGCCTGTCTTTGGCAGCTTTGGAGGCTTTAGAGTGTTCAGTAACTCCAGTGACCCCCACCTGGGAGGGTAATGGCTTCATCCTGTGTGCTGGAGGCGCTGAAGTCATGGAAGCTAACGTGAACTTTACTGAGTTCTCCATGTTCCTCTCTCTGCTTATTACTTCAGATATGAGCTCATTACAGAGAGAGAGAGCTTCAGCCTGAGGGAGTGAGTTAGTGGGTGAGTGGGTGAGTGAGAAGAAAGAGAATGAGTCGAATGAAAGGGTGAGTGGATTATTTGTCGAGTGAAGTGAGGGTGTGAGTGGGTGAATGAATGATCGACCAGATAAACGAAGCAAGAGGTACATGAGTGAATGAATGATCAAGTAGATAAATGAGTAAGTGAATGATTGAGTTTGTGAGTGAGTGAATGAATAAATGAGTGAAGAATGATTGTGAGTGAGTGACTGAGTAAATAAGTGAATGAGTGAACAATAAAATAAGAGAGTGAATGACTAATTGAGAGAGAGAAAATCAATGAGCAAGTAGACGAGTAGTGACTAAGTAGAGTGAGAGGGTGAGTGAGTGAATGAGTAATAGAGTAAGTGAACTGATGATTGAATAGATGAATGAGTGAGGAATATGTGAGTGAATGAGTTGATGACGCTGAGTGAGTGAAGGAGTAAGAGTGAGTGAGTGAGTGAGTGAGTGAGTGAGTGAGTGAGTGAGTGAGTGAATTATCAGGTAGATGAGTGAGTGGGTGAATGAGTGTATAAATAAAGAAAGAGTGAGTGAGCATGTAATTAAGTGAGTGAAAGAGTAGGTGAGTGAGAATGAATTAATAAATAAATGAACACTTGAATTCTAAAATAATGAGAGTAAATGTGTGAATGATTGAGTTAGTGAGTAAATGGATGATCGAGTATATGAATGGGTGACTGTCAGAATGAATGAGTGAGTGAATTATGGCGTTGAAAAGTAAATGAATGAATGAATGAATGGCAGATAAGTGAGTGAGTGAATGAACAAACAAATAAGTGAGTAGGTGAGCAAGCAATTGAGTGAGGGAGTGAGTAGGTGAGTCAATGAGTGAGTTAGTGAATGAATAAATAAATAAATAAATGAGTGAGTGAGTAATTGAGTAAGCAAATGGATGATCGAGTATGTGAGTGAGTGAGTGAGTGGGCATTTGAATGATTGAGTGAATAATTAAGAACATGAGTGAATGAGTGATGGCTGAGTGAATCAGAGTAGATGAGTTAGTGACTGACTGACTGAGTGAATGAGTCACTGAGTGAATGAGTGAATGGACAAATGTACTAACAAATGAGCAAGTGAGTGAGTGAATGAGTGAATGAATTAATCATTAATTAATCAGGGAGTGAGTGGACGACTGAGTGTGTTAGAGAGTGAATAGGAAAAGGAATGGACCAATGAATGAATAACTCGGTGAGTGAGTGAGTGAGTGAGTGAGTGAGTGAATGAATTAATCATTAATTAATCAGGGAGTGAGTGGACGACTGAGTGTGTTAGAGAGTGAATAGGAAAAGGAATGGACCAATGAATGAATAACTCGGTGAGTGAGTGAGTGAGTGAGTGAGTGAGTGAGTGAGTGAGTGAGTGAATGAGACCATCTGTAAAGAGTCTGTAGGAGTGGGTGTACAGCATACGTGTGAAAAAGCCCCTTTGAGAGGGGTTTTTCTGGCTCAGTGCCTCAGTGTGATGTCAGACTGCACTGCCTGCAGTTACAGCTCCATTTCACACAATAATAGTCTATTGTGGATGGTTTCTCCAACACACGCACTGAACACAATGCAGTGTGTGAAGTGCCCTCATAAATCTGTTTATTAGATATTATCCAATCAGGTACGATATGATTTAATTCAGGAACAGTCTACGATGCCAAGTTTCTGGTAAATATCTGAGATTGTAAACTCTGTTTCCTCACATTTTCCAAATGAAATGACCGCAGACTGGCTGAGGCACACGGATGGATTTCATGGATTGATTGGAAAGTGAAAGGTCACTGAGAAATCTGGAGCATAGTTTTCATTTTAACTGCGGAGAACGTGCACTCGGAAACGACACGTAAACCGAGGGACTTTTTTATCTAATCTTGAAAAAAACCTCTCCACACTGGCTACACATATATGAATTTCACACAGTGTTTAATTACTCCTGCCTGTGTCTTTTAGCCTCTGTAGCATCTCTTTACTGGTGGTTCTGCTTCTCTAAAATCAGTTATTGATTTGCTGTTTGGCTGAGTGGAGCGGTGAGAGAGAGCGGCCAGTCACTGCCTGAGGACACGGTCCACTCACCACTGCATGATCATGGTCTTTATCAGGAAGCATTCTGGCATATGAGTGAGTGAGTGAGTGAGTGAGTGAGTGAGTGAGTGAATTATCAGGTAGATGAGTGAGTGAGTGAGTGAGTGAGTGAGTGAGTGAGTGAGTGAATTATCAGGTAGATGAGTGAGTGAGTGAGTGAGTGAGTGAGTGAATTATCAGGTAGATGAGTGAGTGAGTGAGTGAGTGAATTATCAGGTAGATGAGTGAGTGAGTGAGTGAGTGAATTATCAGGTAGATGAGTGAGTGAGTGAGTGAGTGAGTGAGTGAGTGAGTGAGTGAGTGAATTATCAGGTAGATGAGTGAGTGAGTGAGTGAGTGAATTATCAGGTAGATGAGTGAGTGAGTGAGTGAGTGAGTGAGTGAATTATCAGGTAGATGAGTGAGTGAGTGAGTGAGTGAGTGAGTGAGTGAGTGAATTATCAGGTAGATGAGTGAGTGAGTGAATGAGTGAGTGAGTGAATTATTAGGTAGATGAGTGAGTGAGTGAGTGAGTGAGTGAGAGTGAATTATCAGGTAGATGAGTGAGTGAGTGAGTGAGTGAGTAAATTATCAGGTAGATAAGTGAGTGAGTGAGTGAGTGAGTGAGTGAGTGAGTGAGTGAATTATCAGGTAGATGAGTGAGTGAGTGAGTGAGTGAGTGAGTGAATTATCAGGTAGATGAGTGAGTGAGTGAGTGAGTGAGTGAGTGAGTGAATTATCAGGTAGATGAGTGAGTGGGTAAATGAGTATATAAATAAATAATTGAACAAGTGAGTGTAAGAGAGCATGAAATTGAATGAGTGAGAATAAAATAATAAATAAATGAATATTGAATTGTTAAAGAATGAGTGCATGAGTGAGTGACTGACTGAATGAATGAATGAATAGTTGAGTGAGTGAATGATGGAGTTAAGGAGTTTATAAATGAATAAATGACTGAGTGAATAAGTATGTAAATGAATGAATGATCAGATAGGTCGGTGAGTGAGGGGATAAATGGTGTGATGGCTGGCTGCTTGTTGCGTTGTGGTTTGTATGTAGTGTGCTTTTCTTAAAAAAAGCATGAGAGATGAAAATATAATAAATAAATAAATACACAGACCTGAATTGTTGCTTTACTTTTTACAGAATTTTAAAATGCAGCGGCTATTTAAAATGTGTCGAAGTTTAATGATGATTGGATCATTATTGGTCTAAAACATATATTAAAAAAAAAATATATATATATATATATATATATATATATATATATATTTTTCCTACATGTTGTGTTGATTCACCTCCTCTACAGACAAAACACTGCACATTTTAATGCACAATTAAACATATTGAGAAAAAAGTTATTTTTTTATGTTTCATTTTTTTCTTTCTAATATGTTAAATTCAGCAAATAAGCTGTAATTTGCATAAAAAAACACTGAATGATGTTGTTCACAATTTAATCGGGAATTTTAAAAAATCAGTGGAATTCCCCTTTGAACATCTCTGTGAATGTCTGTTTGTGAATTATGTTCCAGACTAATGTTGATCTTAATGTCTCTCTCCATTTCTGCCCCTCTCTCTCTCTCTCTCTCTCTCTCTCTCTCTCTCTCTCTCTCTCTCTCTCTCTCTCTCTCTCTCTCTCTCTCTTTCTCTCTCTCTCTCTCTTAGCAGATGATAAGCAGTCAGCGAGCAGTCAGGCAGAGGTACGTACAGCAACCTTCCGTCTGTCTGTCTTACATAAACATAAACTGCACATCAAAAGTTTGGGGACACCTCAACTTCTTTTGAACTTTTCTGAATGGGGTTTGATTTTCACTGTTCAGTTCATAAAAAAAAAATCCATAAGAAGTCCAGAAAATCCATGCTAGCAAATTTTGAGTATATTTATCCTTGACACCCATAATACTGGAAAACATATTGGAGAAAAATAAAACATAAAATCTAAAACGTGCCATCACTTTTGCACAGACTGCATTTTATGCCTTATTTTTTTCCCAGTATGTTAAACGCTTTAGAGAATGTGTTCACCTGTTATTACTTATGAACTTATTACTTATATTTAGAAGAAATCTGTTTTAGGCCAAAACTGTATTAAACTCTTCAGACGTCTGGTTCCTATCACCACCACTGAGAACATTTCTGACCGTGGTTTCTCTGGAACAGAGCTTTTCACACCAAACCACTCTGAATCTTAATCATTAAATTATACAGAAACAAAAATTGGTGTAGTTGCCCTTTAAGTATTGCAGACGTACAGAGAAAACAAGGTGTTTTGTTAAGTGAGAGGTGTCCCGTCTTTGATGAGCAGTGTATGAACCTCGGCAGCGTTCGCAGCTCACTCTCAGCACATTTACTCTGCACAGGAGACACACCAGACCCCACTTAACCTTTTAGACCAGAGCTTTGATCCGCCGCCCTGTCATCCCCCCACACACATCACACATCACCACACACATCGCATGACCCGTCTTTTTCCTTCCACAGTCATTTCCACACCAACACACTGAGGCATGAACGCCAGTTACACTACTGATCAAGGCTGGAACCTCTCACCTTATTATACTGCTGTTATTTTATTACACAATAACATAATAACACTGTGTAGATTCAGATTCTATAATCAGACACAAGAAGGTCTTTTTAAATGCTTTATTCACGTTTTTTCCTTTGGGCACAACAAGAAATTATGAAACAATGATACTGTAATATTACATATAGAAATGTATTCAGGTTTGATCACCATTTCCAAAATACAGGGCATTCTGGGTACTAATTTTAGTAGAACTTCATTCAGAATATACATTTGATCATAGCATCGTTCTTGATATTAATTTCACCATAACTTCAATATTGATATTAATTTCAGCATAATTTCATCCTGGAAATGAATTTCATTCAAATTTCATTTGAATATTAATTTTATTAGAACTTCATTCTGGATATTAATTTTATTAGAACTTCATTCTAGATATTTATTTTATTAGAACCTCTTTCTAGATATTAATTTTATTAGAACTTCATTCTGGATATTAATTTTATTAGAACTTCAATCTAGATATTAAATTTTATTAGAACTTCATTCTAGATATTAATTTTATTAGAACCTCCTTCTAGATATTAATTTTATTAGAACCTCCTTCTAGATATTAATTTTATTAGAACTTAAATCTGGATATGAATTTCATTCATTTTATTTGAATATTAATTTTATTGGAAGTTAATTCTAGATATTAATTTTATTAGAACTTCAATCTAGATATTAATTTTATTAGAACTTTAGTCTGAATGTTCATTTTATCATATCTTCATTCCGGACATTACTTTTATTATATCTTCATTCTAGATATTAAATTTTTTAGAACCTCGTCCTAGATATTAATTTATTAGAACTTCAATCTAGATATAAATGTTATCATATCTTCATTCTGGATATGAATTTCATTCATTTTATTTGAATATTAATTTTATTGGAAGTTAATTCTAGATATTAATTTTATTAGAACTTCAATCTAGATATTAATTTTATTAGAACTCCATTCTGAATGTTAATTTTATTAGAACTTCATTCTGGATATTCATTTTATTAGAACCTCCTTCTAGATATTCATTTTATTAGAACTTAAATCTAGATATAAATTTTATCATATCTTCATTCTGGATATGAATTTCTTTCATTTTATTTGAATATTAATTTTATTGGAAGTTAATTCTAGATATTAATTTTATTAGAACTCCAATCTAGATATTAATTTTATTAGAACTGCATTCTGAATGTTAATTTTATTATATCTTCATTCTAGATATTAATTTTATTATAACTTTATTATGCATGTTAATTTTATTAGAACTTCATCTGGACATTACTTTTATTAGAACTTTATTCTAGATATTAAATTTTATTAGAACTTCATTCTGGATATTAATTTTATTAGAACTTCAATCTAGATATTAAATTTTATTAGAACTTCAATCTAGATATTCATTTTATTAGAACTTAAATCTAGATATTTATTTTATCATATCTTCATTCTGGATATGAATTTCATTCATTTTATTTGAATATTAATTTATTCAAAGTTAATTAATTTTATTAGAACTTCTGAATGTTCATTTTGTAATAACTTTATTCTGGATGATAATTTTATTAAAACCTCATTCTGAATATTAATTATTAGAACTGTAGAACATTAAAATAACCCTTTTTGGTTGTTATTTTGTTGAAGCAGTGAGCTGCTTGAGTCCCTGTAATACAGTGATTTTATCACATTTAAAGGACGTTTTAGGCGCAATATGAAGCTGAGGCTGTAAAACTGTTGTTATATTATTGCTAACAGTGATTCCACACGTTTGACCGTTGACTCCAAACCTGTGGACAGTGATGTCCACGGCTGAGCTTCTCTGTATGCACTGTGAAACGCTGTGAAGCGCTGTGAAACGCTGGGAGCTCTTCTGAGCTCTTCATCGATTACCTGGCTGGAAATAGAGTGGGAGTGAAAGGTGATGCCGCTTGTGTCTCATGTTGTGCTTTTCCACTGACCATGCCAGACCCAGTCTGCCCAACTGTCTCCGGCCCAGAGGAAGACCAGCGTCTACACGCCGCCCACCATGAGAGGTACACATACAAATACACCCCATACCAGCCACACCATCTGGACCCTCAGCACACCCTCCTCCGAAATCAAGCCCATTATGCTTCATCACTGGGGACACTGTGTTTTGATGGTCCAGTGTTTTGATGGTCCAGTGTAGATGCTCTGTTGATGTTCATTTTATTTTTAACTTACATTCAAATAATATCTGTTTAACTCAATATACCGTTTCTCTGATCCTAGTCTCGGCCTCAGACCAGACCTGCTTCTGAAACAAAATCGCTGAGGGTGCATCCAAAATAAATGCAGGGTTATTCAGAAATGATACTAAAATGAGCAGCTGGAGTTTGTCTGTGATTACACAACTAAAAATAAAACAGGTTATGAACTAACTGGAATATAATATGCTTTAACCTCTTATTGACCAGGGTGTGTTTTGGTTTTTCCATCTGAATGTACGTGACCAAATCATAAGGCAAATTATTCAGTAACTGCAATAAATAAATGTAAATTTGTATTTTATTTATTAAATTTTTTTGGTAAAAGTTCCCTTCAAATGAACAGAACATGTGTTTTATGATCACACATATTGCTATATGATTACAATTTACTGCTGAAAGCCAAAAATCTTAGACGCTCTTTGTATTTTTTTATAAAAATAATGTTTACAGAGCAGATCACTGAAGAGACGCCATCTGTTTATAGTTTATAGCCCAGATTTGTGGAAAAATGGGTCGACTTTCAGTAGACAAAAAATGTGAGTTCAGCTTCTATTATAAGGGTTTAAAATTACATCACCCATCTATTTGACTGGAAAGAAGACAGTTACAGCTCTCATACGACCCCCACCTTTAGAATGTAGCTTATGAAATATGAACGTTATGAAGAATATGACGAAGTGCGTTTTGGAACCACAGGTGGTCTCAAGGAGTTGAAAAGGTTAATTGCATTCAGATGGCTCATTTAAATACTGCTTTGCATGAATAACATAATACACCATTCTGAGTCTTCTAGAGTGAAATATAGAGTCATATGCAAAAGTCAAATTAGGTTTTGCTGATTTTCTAAGAGAAAATAAATTAGCACATCCTCTACAGAGAACACACTTAAATATGACTTTTTACTGCTATTTTAGTCCATTTACTTCTGTTTAGTTTCTGAGTTTGACATAGAAAAATATAAAATGTCCCATAACTTTAACAGGAGCTACATTTTATCTTTCATTTTGGTCCCCATTGTGTTAAATTCAGCAAATAAACAGTAATTGTGCATTAAAATGTGCAGAAGTATGTTCTCTGTAGAGGACGTGTAACTAATTTACACTTAGAACATCAACAATTAATGTAATTTGACCATAATTGGATTTAAAAGGCCAAAACTTTCTCAAAACTATTGTAAAAAAATGTTGTTAGGGTGTTGCTTGGTGGTTGTTAGCTGGTAGCTAAGGTGTTGCTAGGCCATTGCTATTGTATCTTAGGTCAGTGGTTCCCAACTACGTTCCTCAGGGCCCCCCAGATGGTCTACGTTTTCCTTCAATCCAACAAGCAACACATAGGGATCAAAGAAGAATGTGGGGGCCCTGAGGACCAGGATAGAAACCACTGTCCTAGGTGGACGTTAAGGTGTTGCTAGGCCTTTCTTAGGGTATCCCAGGTGGTTGCTAAGGTGTTACTAGGCCTTTCATATGGTGTCCCAGGTGGTTGCTAGGACGTTGCTACATCATTGGAATGGTATCCCAGGTGGTTCCTAAGATGCTGCTAGGCAGTTACTATGGCATCCCAGGTGGTTGCTAAGGTCTTGGTAGGCCTTTCATATGGTGTCCCAAGTGGTTGCTAGGATGCTGCTATGTCATTGGAATGGTGTCTCAGGTGGTTGCTAAGGTGTTGCTAGGCAGTGTCTATGGTATCCCAGGTGGTTGCTGAAGTGTTGCTAGGCCTTTTGCTATGGTATCCCAGGTAGTCGCTAAGGACTTGGTAGGCCTTTCCAATGGTGTCCCAGGTGGTTGCTAGGATGTTGCTATGTCATTGGAATGGTATCCCAGGTAGTTGCTAAGGTCTTACTATGCCTTTCCTATTGGAATCCCAGGTGGTTGCTAAGGTCTTGGTAGGCCATTGCTATAGTATCCCAGATGGTTGCTAAAATGTTGCTAGGCAGTTGCTATGGTATCCCAGGTGGTTGCTAAGGTGTTGCTAGGCCTTTGCTATGGTATCCCAGATGGTTGCTAAAATGTTGCTTGGCAGTTGCTATGGTATCCCAAGTGGTTACATAGACGTTGACAGGCACTTCTATATTATCCCAGGTGGTTGCTATTATAATAATAAGCAGTAGAAAATGAGTGACAGTAAATTGGCTTTTTCAAGCCACCAGCATTATGCAGAAATTTTGAAAAATTACTGGAGTTTCCTTTTTAACCATAACACAAAACCTACACTTAATCCTAACACTCACTCTAACCCTAACCCTATTATTAACCTCAGCCAAAAACCTGAACCTAAATCTGTTCCTATGCTGTCGATAGTCAACTGAAAGTCACCAGATATTTTGTTAATAATTTAAGCTTCCGTAAGTGAAATATAGTGGACCATCAAAACAAAGTGTTTATTATTATTATTATTATTATTATTATTATTATTATTATTATTATTATATTGTCTGTCATGTGACTCCCCTTCACAGCAGACCTGTGTCCCCCTCATGCCATGTCTATCTCTGTCATCTGTAATCTTCACCCACACAGTATATTCTACTCAACTCACTGTTACAGCTTCACTCACATATAATTAATGATCTGATTCCTTTTCATCTCCCTCATTAAAATCATATCACCTGGTGTTTAATTCTGTCTGTCTAATCATGTGCAAGGCAGTCCATCCCCACCTGCACTATTTACACCACAGACCGCACTTCTAAGAACGAATTATCTGTTAACGATAACTACTAGTCCTTAATCAGTTAACAGTATATCTGTGATATCTATAGTCTATTATAATGGATATGGAACCTGATCTGCTAATGCAGCCGACTCCTGTTACATATTCCTTTGTGTTGTCTATATTTAGCTCATGTCTATGGATTCTTACGCTACTCTGGCATCTACGTCATCTGCGTCGATACAGATCTAATAGTGTGTGTCTTGTAAACATGCTGCATGAATCAGGGCTCAGTGCTGGAATAGCGTTCTGTGCTTAGACACACCTGTTTCCACTCGTCAGCTAATTACCAAACCCTTCCTGAGTACAATCAGATGTGTTAGCTCAGGAGAAAGAGCAGCACAGAGGCCCTCGTGATGAAAATTAAGACATGCTATTCAATTTAAAAAGCTGTTTATCTGAGCAGGAAGCATTTGTTTGTTCAGAAACCACTAATATTACAAAAATTAAAACAATATTAATGTAATAAGTAGTGATTTTATGTGTATCAGTGTGTTTGTTTAACCGTTTCCAAACCTTATCTCAGTGCAGCCCCTTTATTAATGGTAGTCATTTTCTAACATAACGTTCTGACCACCTCCTTGTTTCTACGCTCATTGTCTATTTTATCAGCTCCACTTACTATATAGGTGCACTTTGTAGTTCTACAGTTACAGACTGTAGTCCATCTGTTTCTCTGCATACTTTGTTAGCCCCATTTTACCCTGTTCTTCAGTGGTCTGGACCCCCATGGACCCTCACAGAGCAGGTACTATTTGGGTGGTGGATCATTCTCAGCACTGCAGTAACACTGATGTGGTGGTGGTGTGTTAGTGTGTGTTGCGCTGGTCTGAGTGGATCAGAGACAGCAGTGCTGCTGGAGTTTTTAAACACCTCAGTGTCACTGCTGGACTGAGAATAGTCCACCAACCAAACATATCCAGCCAACAGCGTCCTGTGGGCAGCGTCCTGTGACCACTGATGAAGGACTAGAGGATGACCAACACAAACTGTGCAGTAGCAGATGAGCTGCTGTCTCTGACTTTACATCTACAAGGTGGACTGACAAGGTAGGAGTGTCTAATAGAGTGGACAGTGAGTGGACACAGTGTTTAAAAACTCCAGCAGCACTGCTGTGTCTGATCCACTCAGACCAGCACAACACACACTAACACACCAGCATGTCAGTGTTACTGCAGTGCTGAGAATAGCCCACCACCCAAATAGTACCTGCTCTGTGAGGGTCCATGGGGGTCCTGACCACTGAAGAACAGGGTATGCAGAGAAACAGATGGACTACAGTCAGTAACTGTAGAACTACAAAGTGCACCTATATAGTAAGTGGAGCTGATAAAATGGACAATGAGCGTAGGTGGTCACAATGTTATGACTGATTGGTGTATATAATTCCATGTTTTGTTGATTTTCTAAGTGAGCACAGTGTAAATTGTAGTGCACAATTTCTGTTTATTTGTTGAGTTTAACATGTTGAAAATATACAATATAAAATGTTCCATAACTTTTGCCCAGGCTACATTTAATTCTTTATTTTTCCCCAGTATGTTAAATTCAGCAAATAAATAATAACTCCATATTTAAATGTGCAGAAGTGTGTCTCTGTAGAGGATGTGTAACTTATATACAAAAAAACTTGCAACTTATTTTGTAACTTTTTACAATTACATATTTTAAAATGTTAAAACTTTAAATTGTATTATTTTATCATTTTATTTATTCTATTTTTGTTTTAGATTTTTATTTTATTTTATTTTATTTGTATGTCATTTTATTTTTTTTTATTATTTTCTGTATTTTATTTCAGTTTTATTATTTTAATAATAGGCACTCTGCTCTGATTGTCTTTCAAAATTACACACACAAAAAAAAACAGTATCTTGGCAAGTGAAATGATCTTAAACCAGTATGTCTAATATAATATGTTCTAATCTTATAACCTTAGATGAGAAATTTTGGATATATTGACTTGATTTAAGATAAGATACCATTTCTTGCAGTGTAGCTGTGAGTGTAATGCCTAAATACCCACCCAGTCCGGAGACGTACTGACCCGTCTGATGTCATGCCATCTGCACCCGCGCACAGTGCCAAGAAAA